TCTGCTGATGGAGACAACATTCATCAGACTATGTGAAAGCCTTGCCTATCTTCCTCCTTTTTACTGCCAATCTTCCTTCTTTTCACTGCTATGCATGAGAGGAAGAACTGTAAAATATGTATTTCTTCAGTTCATTGTGTCTGTGCCTCCTGTACTCCATGGTAGGTTAAGGAACAACAGATTCAGTCCCCTGTGCCCATTAGCTTGAATTATTAGTTTGAATGAGGCAGGGCTTTCATACATCTTTATGTACATACATACATGTTTTCATACATCTTGTACATCTTGTCTTGCTAGTTACAAGCATCACTGTCCCTATAAGGAAGAGGAGACCTCTTAGATCTCATCCCTTGTTATCACAGACTCAATGAATAATCTCTCTGCTGAGCTAAACAGGAGCCATCTAATCTTCTTTTGTCCTCAGGATATCAAGTGGAAATCTGTTCCAGATCTTGCTGCCGCTGTGGTGAGAAACGTAAATGTTTGCACTGTCAGAGGTTGGGAGAGACGCTGTGTAACTTCCTACAACAAGAAAACAGTTGACTGCCCAAGGCAATCACTTCTAGAAGTGGAACAACCAAAGACTGCATCAAACCCAAAAGACTCTTTTGTACTCCCAAACTACTCACTCTTAATTAGCCCAGCCCACCTTGGTAAGGTAAAGTTCTACCTTACTTTGGACATGCAAAGCTCACATCTCTTTACTGAAGTGAAGTGAAAACAGTCACATGAACAGCTCTGAAATCACTCATCATTGGCTTGCTAAACGCAAACTAGGCTTACTATTTGCCTACCATGGTGAGTTGAGGAGACCGACTTTGAAGCAGGAGTACAGGAATGTGGGCTCACTAGAGAATCTTTACCAAAGATTCCCTTTTCCCACCTATTTCCCCATGGGTAATCAGCATCATTATATCCACAAATACAGGAGAAGGGACACAGGGAGAAAAAAATGGTATGCCCACGTCAAATAATGAGTCACTGATCCATGGGGAACTTGAGTCCGACAGTCCTGATCTGGAACTCTGCCTCTACAACAAACATACCGGTTTGATGTTTTCTTAATAGTGCCAAGTGGTCTGAATACACTTCAGTTAACACAAACTGCCAACAGAGAGCTTGTCACTAATCTTCAGCTATGCAGCTAATCCAATAAATGATATCACCTCTCCTCCAAACCTTGTCTTTCTTAGAGCTAGAGTATGCTACAGCAATGACACGAATTCTTGTGCAGGGAAGGTGGGAGCAGAACCCACTCTCTGTATGAAGGCACTCACCTGCTCTTTTCTCTGGATGTCTCTCCATCCACATGCACTGGAAAAAATGTTTTTGTGCAAAGCATATGAAGTTTCTGTTTGGATGTGGGAAAATTCAGGACTGGTCTCTAGATCCCATGTTCCACCATATCCTCAGTAGCCTTCTCAGAGCAAAACTAGTCACATAAGAGGAACTCACCAACAAAACTTGTTCCTGTGATGTCCCCACCCGTTTGCTGACTTGCCCCCTTTCTCCATCTGCATATTTTGCAATACAACAACTCCCTCCACAGTACATTCCCTCTGCATTACTGGCCTGAAATTGTGTAAATATTTTCTATTGCATCAGCTGGAAGTTCTGAGAGTGCTACAGTAGGTCATCAGAATATCATCTCTTGCAGATTAACAGTCTGTTAATGTCATGGATTTTCCCTCCTCTAAGGAAAAATATGACCTTGCTGTCTTGGTGAAGGTTCTCCTGTTTATGTCTGTGCTGCTCCAGTCTCTACTCCAATCTCTAGAAGCACTGAGATATATTAGAGAGCATTTTCAGAGGTAACTTTAAGGCTAGACCAGGAAGTAGAGAATATTTTGCAAAAAAGTTCAGTGTTGCAAAGCTAATACCTAGTTCCTGGCAATGAGGGTTCAGATAAACAGTGGAATTTTGGCTATTTTAGGGACAACAGTCAGAAGATGGTGAAAGTAAAAAAATGGGGAAGGAAGACTTTGCACTACATTCTTAGTCCTGCTCTTTGCAGATTTTTGTGTGATCATCTTGTAATCTACCAACGGAGAAGATTTCCAAGCCAGGGGAGGGGGGGAGTGGGGAAGGGCAATACACAGGTTTGCAAAGAGCACTTAAGGAATTATAAAGAACTATAAAATAGGAAGACTTTTTAAAAATGAATCTCTGAGTCAACTGAGATGCATCTGTTCCAGCTTGTACTATACTTTGATAAACAACACACCTCTCTATGCCTTGTCTCTGCTAAAGCAGTCAATACCAGAAAAACTGAAGCCATCTGTGTGCAGCGCCTTCCCATAAGCATAATTTGAAATCCTGACTGAAAGCATAATAAAATCCTGACTGAAAGGAAAGAGGAACTAGCAGTCACATACACTCATCTATGGAGGTAGTTTTACTGGAGGGCTGAGTGCACTGCCCAGGATGGTAGCAGCAGAACAGATTTGCGTCTCCTTGTTGCAGATCACATGCTGTTGGCCCACACGTGCACCCTCATCCTTAAATATTCTTTTATCATAAAAAGGATCTCAGCAATGTCGAGACATCAAACTCCCTTCATTTTCCAAAGGGTATCATATATCTTCTCAGACATGAAGAGCCTTATGTGTCCATTGATCTCCCTTTGCTGCAAAGCTGCAACAGCTTGACAACAGAGTAGTGATGAGTGTGATGACACTGCTGCTGCCCACATTAACTAGGATCACTGAACCTAGTGAGCTCTGGTGTGTTTTTGCACTCAGCTGTTCTCTAGAATCATAGGCAGAAACTCTGCATCATTACCCCACTGCAGCCTGGTGGCACATGGGGAGAGTCTCATTCCCTAAACCACCAGGAACAGAACAGTTCCAAGCTTAGAAACAGAGACTAGAAGAGTAAAATATTGCAGACAACATAGAAATTTCTTGAAATCTTATCTTAGAGATTCAGAGTAAATGTATGCTTTGGCTAAAGACTCTTAAGAAGGCACACAGCCCCCCCACATCCTTACCCACTTCCCTCTCCCAGAGAAGAGTTCAACTTGTTTAAATGAGATGAGTCAGTGAGGATAATTGCAATATCAGACCAGCCAGATTTAAAAAAAAAAACAAAAACCTTATGGCAGGATCCCTTATGAAAGGTTTTTAAAGCAATGAACATGTCATGGAATAAAAGAGAAGATCCCCTTATGATGACTCATGGTGACAAATAAAAACTAAAGCATAGAAATAAATGGCTGTTTTTTGGAAGTAGAGAGATTTCAGTTGTGAGGTCCCATAAGAAACTGTGCAGACCTCTGAGCTAGTCATCTAGTCACAAATGATCTAGAAGAGGAGCGTCCTTGTGAATAAGTGAAAAGCAATAAACACAGAGTACGCTAATGATATGTTCTAGTGATTGGGCCTCCAAAAGAGTTTGGTAATGCCACATTAATTGAAAAACAGTGCTGGGTATTATTAGGAAGAAATTAGGGGACAGAAAAGAAAATGGCATAACGATGACCTACAAGTATAGAACATACTCCATCTCTGAAAGGAAGAAGTGGAACAAGCACAAAGAGAGTGACCAGAATTGAAAACATCAAAACAGAAATGGAAGGAGAACATAATGGCAGGAGAGTATAGTAAAGATCTATAAAATCCTGAATAATCTGGGTAACAAATTGGGACTGGGTGATGGATTCTGTCTTACAACATGAGCAATGGGACATCTAATAAAATTAGCCAGCAGAAGGTTTAAAGAAAACCAAAGGTAGTTCTTTTTATTCTGTGCCTCATTAAACATGATTTCTCCTCAAACCTACCACTGAAGCGAAGAGTTTAAGGAGGAATGGATGGATCCTGAGGGTCAACAGCTGATTGTGCAGCTGGTGTTGATGACAGGGATTTGGCTTTCATAACTGTGGAACACTGCCTGAGGATCAAGGAGCGCTAGGAAGAGATGGGGCAATGATGCAAAAGAATCTTTGCCTGACAGCTAAACAAAAGGCTGAGGAGAGCTTTAACCTAAGAACAACAGGAGTGTGAGTTGATGACCCAAAATTGAGTGAGGAAGCGGCAGACTGGGTTGGCAAGCAAAAGGTCCAGAGTGAGGTGGACAAGAGAGACCTTGAGAAAAAAAAAGGGCAGAAGAGTCCTACCCTAAACAAATGCACATGAACAAGGAAGTGCTGAGAGGACCACATGATGAAGGAAGCTCTTACACTTTTCTGAGAAATATAATGACTGGGTGCCCAAACGAAGGGCCTGCACACTAATGCATGCAGCATGGGGAACGAAGAGGAGCAATTAGAAGTCTGCATGCAATTGTAGGGTTACAGTCTCATTGGAATCAGAGAGATGTGGTGGAATACTTTACACCACAGGATTGCTGCAATGGGTAGATACAGGCTTTGTAGGAAGGATGAGCTGGGAAGGCAAGGAGAGGGAGTGGAGTCACCCTTTTTGGGAGAATCCTACATCCCTGGTGAGAAGAGGGTTCCAGGAGAGATGGTTGATTTTCAAGGCTTACCTCTTCCAAGCTTAAGAATGGTCTATCCTAACATGCAGAAAATTAAGTAAAGGTGGCAGGAGGCCACCTTGTATGGATGAACAAGGTGTTCCTGACGAGATTCAAGCATAAAAAGGAAGCATACAAGAGGTGGAGGCAAGGACAGATAATCTGGGAGGACTATAGAGACACTGTCTGAGAGCGCAGGGATCAGGTCAGAAAACCAAAAGCCCATCTGGAGTTGAATCTCATGAGGGCCATGAAGGGCAACAAGAAAGGCTTCTACAAATGCATCAGCAGCAAAAGGAAGGCTAAGTAAAACCATGAGCCTGTTATTAAATAAGGCGAGGCCCTGGTGAAAAAGGACACTGAGAAGGCCACCTTTGCCTCAGTTGTCACTGTCCCAGGGCTCAATGCTGGGGCCAATACTGTTTAACATCGGAGGATGGGAAGAAAGGCCCCCCCCCCCCCCCCCAGCAAGTCTGCTGATGATACAAAACTGTGAGGAGTGGCTGATACACCAGTGGGTTGTGCTGCCATTCAGAAGGACCTTGACAGACTGGAGAATGGGCTGACTGGAGCCTCAAGAAGTTCAACAAAGAGAAATACCAAGTCTTGCACCTGGAAAGGAATAACCCCATGCACCGGTACACACAGGGCAGACCGGCTGGAGGGCAGCTGACGGGACATAGCATTATAGGGCACTCTAGCCATTGTGTCTGTGGGGTCTGAGAAAGTAAATGCAAAGTCCAAGTGAAGACTTTCTGTGCCTTTCTGCCCCACACTTAGTGCTCTCCTGAGACAGAGCATCAGCACTCAGTCAACCCCTCATTCCCTCTGCCTAAGTATAACACATTGCCATGGCTTTCTGATGTGTCATGCCTGTTAACATGTTCAAGAAATGTCAGCCAGATATCACATAACCAACCCCAAAGCCCAGGTAAAACCTGCACGACCAACACAGCAAAGGAGAGTTCCAGCTTCTCCTGGTGAATTCAAGCTCTGAGCTGGGGCAGACCAACCTGTCACTACTCAGAACAAATGAGTAGGAATCAAAGATGCAAATGCTGGTGACTAGTACATCATTGTCCCACTATTGCTAATGTCTGTGTAGAACAGTACACAAGGGGTTAATCTAATTAGTTAGCTTTACCTTTGAGACTGACAGAAGTCAGCCAAATTAGAAATGCCCACCACAAAGTCTCATTCAGGATAACCTGCCTCCTGGGACAGGAGGAAGAGTGGCAACAGGATCCCAAAGCAGCAACTGCTTAGTAGGGCATGTACTGTCACTCTGCTGCCATGAGCATGGAGCCTGGCATCCCAACTGAGCCTTGCTACTAAAGAGACAACACTGGAAAATCATACAGAAGACAGGCAGTTCCCCCCTTAACAACAGGCTTCCTCTTCCTTCTGCTAACACAACTTATTTTTGGGGGGTGGGGGGAATCATTTTGTTTTTTTAGCTGCTGAAAGCCAGTGAGAGACTATGAAAAATAATCAGCACTTTTGAGCCCACTGTTTCTCTTGTCTCCAAGGAAACTCTGCTAATATGTTCAACATCAAAACCAGCAGGATTTTCAAGGAGGGAAGCATCCACAGATAGCAGCAGGGAAGCAACCTAAGGGTAAAAAGAGGGAGGGATGTGTGCAGGAGGAGAAGATTTGAGGAAGAAGTTGGCACAAGCTAGGTACATATTTAGGGACAAGGCAAGGGGCCACTGAGAAAGCTGTACTAGTCTGTCGAAGGTGAACTCCCTTCTGGGATAAGAGCTGGGTCACCTAGTGAGAGGGCAGAAGTTAAATAGAGCATCCTTGCATAGAGAGATGGAAGGAGCAATGCCTCAGAGGCGGGGTGTGCCAGGCTGTTCAAGGAAAGGCAAGCAGGGCAGTGCTTTGCCCTCAGGGCTCTGCTCAGTGGCCTGGCAACTATAGTT